CCCCGCCTTCCCCTTCCCCGCCTCTGTTCCTAACGCTCTCCAAGGGCGATGCTCCTTCATCAAATTGAATCACATTTCACGTTTTTTTTTACTGTCATTCTACATCTCCCATCTTAGGGACTGTCGTTATGTTGAGCTCTTCTAGTCCAGGACCTCAGCCGAGTTGAGCTCCATCATTTGGGCGGCCGGTGGGTTCCACGTGGCATCCATCCAAATGATTCGAGCCAAAAAAAAGTGTTCAAACTTCGAACTCTTGTCTCCAGAGACAGTCGACTGAGTTGAGCACCGCTGGACCCAATGCATCCACAGTTCACAAAATCCCAAGTTCCTGGAAAGAGAAGGGGTCCCAAAGAGTCCCAATTGGAACCATCTCCTGAAATCCATCACTGTTCCATCGACTCGAGAACACACAAGCACGTACTACAGCAGGCTCGCAGCATTCATGAAAATAATGAATTTGATTGAATTAGGAAAAAAAAAAAAAAAAACGAAAGGCACGATTGATTCACACCAGAACGACCGGCAACAGCAAAATGGACCAGCACCCTCATTATTGTCATGACTTCTAATTGACGTCATCCTTTTTCTAATTCTTAATTTCGTATTACCATTATTACTATTTTTTGGGATGTGATGGGGTGTGACGAACTGTAGTGGGATGGGGGGAGGTTGTCACTGCCTTATAGAGGGAAAAAAAGAGAAGGAAAAAAAAAGCAGAAAAAAAAAATGCATCAGGGGCATTTTGATTAGCGGATGCAATTTGGTTACACTTGACCAAACTTGGGGTCCTGATTGTGATTTGTCGAATTTGTCGAATTTGTCGAATTTGTCGAATTTTTGTCGAAGTTGTCGAAGTTGTCGAATTTGTCGAATTTGTCGAATTTGTCGAATTTGTCGAATTTGTCGTGTAACCAAATTGCACGAGACGCTCTGCTCTCACGGCAAGTGGATATCATGACAATCTGATAATAAAAAAGGGGCAAAAAAAAGAATATCATGGCAATTTTTTTTATTTTTTTTTTTAATAATAAGAAAGCCAGAACAACGTCACTAGAGGGGTGATACGAGCAGCCTCCATGGCAATCTCTCTTTTTTTTTTTTTTTTTTTTTTTTCCCTTCCCCTCCATGGCAGTCTCAGTCAGCGTGGTTTCGTCGGCAACTTGTACTCAAATTAAATTCAACTAAGATTTTTTTTTAATTTTTTTTTAGTAACTGAGATAAATTAAGTAAAAAAGTTAAGAAACTACAAAAATCGAATTAAATTCAACTGAAGATTAAATTAGAATGAAATTAAATCAAATGATTGCAGTCAATTTTTGCCGGTGCGATACAAGAGGGGCGAAGGTGGAAAGGGCCGTCTATATACCACGTAAGACAGAGTCTGCTCTCCTCAGTCCCTCTTCAGACCCTGATGCCATGATCTGGACAAGGAACCAAAAAAAAACAAAATTTAGTAACAGACGAAGGGCATACTCACACTGGACGTGATTTTAGTCAGATGCATCCTGGTCAGGCCGTAAATGCGATCAGATGCATTTGAGATCATAGCTCTGGTATTACTACGCCCTAACAGTATCAAACAAACTAAATCAAATAAAATTTCCGCAAATGCCAGCAGCTGGTTTCTTTTCAAGTTCTCATAATAACAATGAATCAGTTTTTTTTTTTTTTTTTTTTTTTTTTTTTTNGTTGCCTCTTTTTTCTGAGTCGTTTTCACTTTTCACCTTTTTTTTTTTTCTTTTTTTTTTATCGGGATCGAAACTCGAGAACTCTTTTCTCCTCAATAAAAACTTGGGAAAAAAAGCTGGGCCCGCTTCTGCTCCCCTTTGCCTGTTCTCAGGCCCAGCTTCATTTTGGCAGGCCCGCCTTCACTTAAGGCGGGCAGGGCCCCTCTCGCTGTGGTTTAGGGGTCATTACCCGGCCTTCGGCTGAGAAAGACAAATGGTTCAAGTACCTACTAGAAAACACTGAGCAAGACAAATGATGCAAGTAACTACTAGAAAACACTGTTCAAGAGTAAGTGCCAAGTGACAAAGAAGCATGCATGATGCACCCAATTGAAATTGAAAGGGTGTAGATTTCCACAGCTGCCTGAAGATGAAGAAGAGCAGCCTTAGGCCCTTTCACAACTGAAATTGAAAGGGTGTAGATTTCCACAGTTCCCTGGGAGGTTTTTTTTTTTTTTTTTTTTTTTTTTTTAAACCATGCCCCCCGCCAGTGCTAGTGGTGCTGATAAGAGCAGCCACCACTAGCACCTTGGGAGAGGCTCCATCTATTGGTGGGGAGCATCACCTGCTGGAAAACGGGTCCAGCGTCCCATATACAGATTCCCTGGGAGGGTGAGATGCAGTCCTTTTCACAACTCTGCTCAACTTTCGAAGGGTAAATTTGTGATTGAAAGCCTTAGGATGGTGGGCTGGTACTCGATTGGTATATACAGTATTATAACACTACGATAGTAAAGCCAAATAGTACATTCATTCATTCATTACGGCTGTGTTTGGTCTCGATTGGTGTATTCATTCATTTCATGACGATAGTAAAGCCAAATAGTTCATCTTCCTATCAGTTGGCGGCTACTACTTCAATCATCATATTGTAAATTGTAAATTAATGAATGACTTGCCAACGTGATCCGGTGGGAAGGATCCGGGACCAAGTCCCACTGGCAGCGTTGAGTTTCATCAACGCCTGAATCTGGACGTGTTTGTGGCTATGTGCGGTTGAGGAAACTCAAACGCGATTTCTGCACAGCTCCACAAACACGTCCAGATGCAGGCGTTGAGGAAACTCAATGCTGCCAATGGGACTTGGCCCCCGGACTAACGCCTCCCAGATCAGAAAAAGGCCACATCCTAAGGTTGTGCTTAAAACAGCACAACAACAAGAACAACAGCACCACCACCACCAACAACAACAACAACAACAACAACAACAACAACGGCGAAGGAGACACCGACAAGCCAAAACAACAAACAGCAGCAACAAGAACAAGCATTAAGAAGAACAGCAATTGCATCATAAAACTGTCAGAGTCTGTGCAGTGAAAGGCATTTGATACCGTTTTCATTCATCAATGCCAAGTCATAAACCTGCATGCCAAACTCAGAGGAGCAGACAAGGTACATCGACATTGCCTAACACAGGTGCTTTACCAGATCATTACTTTTATCTATAAGCCCGCAAAAAAACAAAAAAACTACTTCCAAGGGGGACTACCTGGCAATTAATAGTATCTACAGCAGAACCCACTCTGCATAATTTCCAAGGAATCTCTCTCAGTAGTGACGTACCGTCAGTGTCCCATTGGCCGCCTTTACAACTCCACCTGACACGGGTGCGTCGACCACCTCCCATTCGCGTCCAGCCCCTGTCAATGTCAATGTCAGCATGAGCACATGAAAGAGAGAGAAATTCAATCCTGAATGGAATTCTTGCTTTTTCCCAAAAAAGAAAAAAAAAAAGAATCCTATTCTCAGCCATGAACCACAGAGCTCCTCTGAGTCAATTCTTTTGCGTTTCTTTCCTTCTCCTTTTACTTTTTTTTGGGAAACAATTCTTTCACGCCAGGGGCGAGGCCCCAAGAGCAAAGAGAATAGGAGTTAACGCCTGAATCTGGACGAATTTGTGGAGAACTGCAGAAAATCGCTATTGATCTGCTTTTCTGAATTTAACGCCTGAATCTGGACGTATTTGTGCCGAAATCCAGATTCAGGCGCTTAATCCAATCCTCTTTGCTAGTGCGACCGCACCATTGTGGCGCCTAATCACACTACTACTACTACTACTACTACTACTACTACCACTACCACCACTACTAATAATAAAATAACAATAGGCGGAAAATAATTAAAATAACAATAGGCGGAAAATAATTAAAATAACAACAGGCGGAAAATAATGAAAATAACAAAAGGTGGAAAATAAACTACAAGATTTCACGATATGGTATAAGGGGTAGAATGTTGCCCTCCAAGTCATCTGAGCGGCTATGCCGGAGTGGTTAACGGGTCAGACTCGAAATCTGATGGGCTTTGCCCGCGCAGGTTCAAATCCTGCTGGCCGCGATGTGGATATAAATGGCGAGTTCCGGTTTTCTTTGCTACCTCGTCTCCATCCACGTGCAAATCCTGCGGAGCGGGATCAAGAATGTTTTTGATAACTGGTACCCCACACTAGGGTAGTACTAACGAGTTTCACATGTCGCTTCCTTCGGCAAATCCGAAAAAAAAGGGACCGATACAGAGAACATTGGCATGGCCCCTCAGAACAATAACACCCATAGAAATAGAGTTTGTCCTTCGCCCTGTAAATAAAATACAGTAATTGTAGTATTATTGTACATAGCGAACCCTAAAATGCAACCACATCAATGGCGTCTCTTTTCACCAGTGTGTGCGAGCCTTCCGGGCTCGCTGCACTACTCTAGACTCGTAAAAAAATTCTAGAGTTGTTCTAGAGATGTCAGAGTTAGGAAAAGTCCTGAAGGGTCTCGCTCCACACACTAGACTCACGAAAAATCTTCTAGAGCTGTCAGAGGTCTACAACTCTTGAAAAAAGAAGCGTCACTCCACTTAATCCAGACTCAAGAACTACAGAAGCACTCACAAATTTCTCAGCGCTACATGACTGACAGCCCTTCTACAGCGCCAGATGATGACACCAGCTCGTTCTGATGGTTGGGGCAGGAGGCACACTCACGAAAAAAAGAGGCCGGAGCGGGGGTAGGAGGGAGGACGCTAGAAAACCTTCTGAGCGTTGCAGGCTGTGAACTCTACACAAATCGAGAGTGCCCTTCGAGAGAGAAGCACTTTCTGCCAGCTCTCTCTCGAAGGGAGGGTGTTGTCATGAGTTCCAGTCCAGAGTAAGTGGAGCGCGGCGTTACCCTCAAAACTTTGGGAGTCTAGAATAGTGAAGCGAGGCCCAAAATCTACGCATGGCCGCACTAGCTCTGGACTCTAGAAAAGCTAGAGCTGCTCTGCCACTTTCTGAGTTCGACCATTTCACTACAGGCCAGCGCCAGACTGGGTTGTGCCTCCAGACTCAAGCCCACTCAAGGAAAACCAAGGCGTTTCAAGGGTTCTCTCAAACCTTTCATCATCTTTCAAATTCTTTCAATTCACCTTCACTACCTACCTACCTACCACTACTCTTAAGGTTTATACAGGGGACCCCTGCGAACATAGCCTTGTTTTCTCCCTCCAGCCATCAGAGGGGATGCATGTTTTTTTTTTTTTTTTTTTTTTTTAAAGCTGCCTTCTCCTCATCGGGGGACAGCCATACATTTTTCTCTCACCTCACATATTTTTTAACTGGCATTCTGCCTTGTCATGGAACATATCTTTCTTTCACTACCTACCTACCACTACTCCTAAGGCTGTACAGGGGCCCCCTGCAGGCATAGCTTTCTACCTCTCTTCAGTGAAGGGAGGTTACCTCTCTCGGTGGACAGAGGTAACGACATGTTTGCCCCTTTGCCCTAGCATTTAGGGTGCAGGGTTGGGGCCGCCGGTGGGGGCTCGGCTAACACAAGGACCGAGCATTTGCCAGTAACTGTGCCTCCCTTTTCATTTTCCTCCTGTTTGTTGCTGTGATGGTTGCCCGAAATCGCGGCTACAAATTACAGCCAGAAGTCACAGCCAGAAACAATTGCCCTTTGCTATGGTAAAGAATTTGGCTGGGGCCGAACCCCTTCAGGTCCGGACCCCGTACGGGAACCCGAACGCTCGGCCTGGTAACCATGTATATATATATATTTCTTCTCTCTCTCTGCCTACGGTTTACCGGGCAGTTCTGTTTGTGACGATATATATTAATATATGTATCGTCAAACAGAGCTGCCCAGTAAACCGTAAGCAGAGAGGGAGAAGAGGACAATAAACGAGGGGCTGCGACAAACTGTTTCGTCGGAGTTTCACCGACTCATCAGGAGGATATATAGATAGATAGATAGATATATTGTCAAACAGAGCTGCCCGGTAAACTGTAGGCAGAGAGGGAGAAGAGGACAAGAAAAGAGGGGCTGTGACAAACTGTTTCTTCGGAGTTTCACTGACTCATCAGGAGGCTGAACCCTATATATATATATAAATATTACCATAGTTACAAGAAGGAGACACTGTGGATAAAACATATTAAAAAGATGTCAACGTAATCGAGGATTTCACCAAGTCATAAACTAGATATGTTGAGTTGTACATTTCATCGCACCTCTCAGTCGATGGTCTAGTCCTCGAACGTAAGCGGCTGCAACTGTTGAGCACATCACAATACATGCCCTTGAAGGTAGCACTGCACCCAAATTTGTGTCAAAGGAAAAGACTTAGTTCACACACATTGAAACAGGACACACTGTAACAGTTGTGCTTAATTTTTTGTCAAAGGAAATGGTCACACACATTGAAACAGGACACATCTGATTCAGTAACATCATCACTGTAAGAGTAGCAGTTGTGGTCATTCTTAGGCTAACTTTAACTGTTCTGGGCAATTTCTTTCCCGCACACAGCGGGGAGCATACTGCACGAAGCAAAAGTGTTGGCTGGGGTTATTCATGTAATATTCTTTATCCCCCGAGACTACCACCTCTCCTTCAAAAACTGGACGGACGTGGATCCCAGCATCCCCCTGCGACCTGCAGAAGACTTCTCAGATCCCTTTCCACCGCACCCGCTGGCTCTGGAGGAATGGCTCGAATGAAGAGTGGCCAGACAAAGGCAAATATCATCTGTCCGTACCCAGACCTCGACTCGCTTTCTTCTTGCCGCCAGAAGGAACACTGTGGCCATTGGAAAGGCGGGCGAAAGGTAGTTGGGAACCAGTGGTTCCCTCTGATACCCATCGAATACTGAACGGAACAGAGGGATCCTTGGTGCAAGAAGAGAGGGAGGAACCAGTCCTTCAGCAGCAGGAATCTGGCGCCGAGTACAGGGCGAAGAGGTTTACTCCAGCAGTCTTTATAGTAAGTTTATACGGTTTTTTTTTTTTTTTTTTTTTTTTTTTTTTTTTCCCTAACTCATTCTGTGTCAGGGGTATCTCAAAAAAGATAAAGTGAGAATGGGAGACGCAGGGACCTTCTGTTGCCCCCCAGTGGCCCCAAGGCGTCAACAGACCAGGGACAGCAGATTTGGTGGATATAGACACAGAACTCTTCACAACCTGCTCAGTGGCAGGCATTTTCCAGTTCTTTTCTCAAATGTCCTGCTCAGTCAATCCCCTGGTATCCAGGGTAATCAATGCTGGCAGGAACCCTCTACATTGTTTCTCAGATGTCCTTTGATCACACACCTGTGTATGGGACGCTGGACCCGTTTTCCAGCAGGTGATGCTCCCCACCAATAGATGGAGCCTCTCCCCAGGTGAAAAAAACAAAAACATGTAATATTCTTTCTGAGCTTGCGGGCGGAATGGACAAGGGGAGAGGACAGTAAGAAATTATTTTAACAAAAAATAAGAAAGAAAAGAAAAGGAATGAAACAAATTGCACAAGGAACGAATCCAGGAATGAAGCAAGTCAGACCAGGCAGGAACAAATCGGATTCCAGCAATGAGTGGATGTACTTACGTATAACTGGGTTTGTACCACAGAGGGCAGGGTCCTACAATGCAGTCAAGCATGATCGTCCCCCGGTGCACATCAAGAAACAGGCCAACAGCCTGGTACTGAGCTTGGTAGACCCCCTGCGCGCATTGCTGCATCCTTTTGGGGTTTCCCATCCGCCAATTCTTTTTTCGGTTTTCGGCACCGACTTTTTGCCTTCCTTGGCAGCACGATACACTGCAGGACTTTTTCCTTTCGTTCCAGTTCAGGGGCCAGGCTCCACGTCTGGACCCAGCAGGGACCAGACGGTTTGTGGGTACTTTTATGATCTGTCGCTGACATATGGTATTTTACTTGAGCGCCCACTGCAGTTGCTCTCTCATTTCGATGCTGCGTTCGCCCACTTGCGCCTCCATCAGCACTGCTGGTGATGAGCTGGTCTGCCATCGCTTGGTAGCCTTATGTGCCACCACTCACCGGTTTCTAGCTGCCCTCCTCAGCGCTGAACAGGTCATGCTGCATCTGGCGGATCTCGGCTTCTTCGTACACATGTGCTGTTTGGGGCTTCTCTCTTGCTCTCCAGGTAACTGTTGTGGCAGCTGGACATCTGTGGACGCAATCGCCATGATATTGGTGCTGGACTTGTGTTGTTGTTTTTGTTTTGGTTGTCTATGCGGGTTTTTGCAAGTGTTCCGAGATGGAGAACGTGCGGCTGCAGGGGTTTTCAAGAATTCTACGGTTCTCTGGTCTGCTCCGATTGGTCGCACACGGCGCTCTCTCCTTGTCTCACCTCGCGTTCTTGGATCGGGTGATTAAGTGCATTCTAGGACGGGGTATCGTGAAGAAGGGAGTAGAGTAGCTCCTATATAAGATGGCAAGGCTATTGGGATTGGCCATCTGATCCGAGTCGTGATTGTTTGGAGTTTGCTTCGAAAACTCCTGATGAGACTACTAGCGGGGTAGTTGAAACGCGTAGTGGTATGGCCGTGTTGGAATGACGGGGATATGTTGGTTGATCTCCGTATGAAGTGAATTCTGAACTCTGGTACTTTTGTTCCTTTGACTCTTTGTTGAGCGTGCACAATGGATTGTTCGTCTTGGTGCACTAGCCATCTCCATTCTCACAGTGTGTGCTGTTTCTAGCCGTTCAGACCTACCAATCAAAGGGGTACCAACACAGAACTAACTTAAAAGGAAAAAGTGTAAACATGCATCAGGTCCTTTTCAATGACCAACATTGTACTAAGAGTTCCGGTTTCCGAAAGCTCTGCAGACATGCCTAAAGGCCCTAAAGGGCCTAAACACAGTATCCAGCATTCGACTCGATTTGGTGGACTCACCATCCATAGCTCCTTTTGGGCCAAACAATGCAGACTCCGCTTGGTCAGAATTGGTTACCATGACCACCAAGACCTGGGCACCTGCCAAAATCGCATACATTTCCGCATTCGATAAGCAAGAGAGAGACATCCTATTAGTACTATTACTAGTCTATTAGGTAATTAATAACTAGCAAACAACCATTCACCTATTCTAAGCATGTATGACGAGTCATCGGAAGTTGCAGACACCTGTTGGACCCGGTTTCCAGCAGGTGCAGCTACCCATGAATAGACTGGAGCACCCGAGCCACCTACTAGGGAAAGGTGCTTATATCACTGAGTCTCACACTGTAGAAGGGCGGGGCGTTGCCCACCAAAAAAAAAAAAAAAACGCGTTGCAGACACCTCTGGAAGAGACATAGGTCATTAGCAAAGCAGCAGGCATCACTGACATTATAGCAGTAGTCTAAGAAGGCAAAACAGCAAACTATCTTTCCTTAAAAATGCTCAACATGTTCCCACCCCCGACAGCAAATGGCACAAAGTAGGAACCGAGAAGGACTCAGAGGCGGCCCAGGGACATAGGATGCAGCCCCTGTGATCGATTCCCACATCGTGAAGGAAGAGAACAAAAGGGAGGACCTCCTGTTGGAACTTGAAGTGGTCGAGAAACAAACCACAATCAGTTTCGAATCCCGAGGAGCATCGGAAAACAATCCTATTGAATGCCCAGAAGTTAGGGCGAAGAATACTGCAGAAGGTGGAAACGAAACACAAAAGACGATCTTTGAAATCACTTTGAAAGGAGAACGAGTACGAAGAAGGGGGATCCGAAGCAGAAAAGACAAAGTATACTCAGAATTAACAATGTAATCAAGAGTTTTATTTTCACGGATAAGGTAGCGCACACGTAAAACCTCAGCACTACACAGTCCTTCCACTCCTGTTTCCGCTCACACTGCAATCCAGCCTCCGCTCGGAAACAGATCCGAAAAGGAGCACACAGAGACACGTGAAAAAGGAAACAACTCCCCCAGAACGACAAACGGTCCTTCAACAGCAGAACATAATTTCGGAATCAGTGAAGAACTCCTGGAATGACCTCCAACAAGACTACCTCCATGCAAACATCTCAGTATCTCAGATGAAAGAATTTGACACCCTCGTACTGTGCATCAAAAAGTTTGAGAAGACCTCCAAGCCTGGCTCGGTCAAGCATATAGCCGACAGTAGCGGGCTTCAACACCTCGATGAACCCCTATGAAGTTCTGACTCTTCTGAGGCAAGAAGGAGAACTCTCTGAATGCAGTGCCTACAGGT